CCTCTGTGTGAGGGGGAGGTGGGTGTCGCTGGTGCTGTGCTAACTGGCGCCCCCCTGTGGCCAGGTGCTGTTTGAGAAGGAGGGGGTCTACCTGCACACCAACACCAAGAGGAGCAGCCAGGACTCCGCCATCCCTGGAGTCATCCGGGTCGTGGAGAGGGTGAGACGGGGGGAGACTAGGGGAGACAGAGGGAGAGGGGGGAGACAGGGGGAGAGGGTGGGAGAGGAGTGAGACTGAGGGAGACAGGGAGAGGAGACTGGGGGAGACAGGGAGAGGAGACTGGGGGAGACAGGGGGTGAGACTGGGTGAAACTAGGGGAGACAGTGGGTGAGACTAGGGGAGACAGGGGGTGAGACTGGGTGAGACTAGGGGAGAGGGGGGAGACGGGGGAGAGGGTGAGACTGGGGGAGACAGGGAGAGGGGGGGTGAGACTGGGGGGAGGGGGGGTGAGACTGGGTGAAACTAGGGGAGACGGGGTGAGACTAGGGGAGACGGGGGAGAGGGTGAGACTGGGGGAGACGGGTGAGACTGGGGGAGACAGGGAGAGGGTGGGAGAGGAGTGAGACTGCGGGAGACAGGGAGAGGGGTGAGACTGGGGGAGACAGGGAGAGGGGTGAGTGGAGTGAGACTGGGGGAGACAGGGAGAGGGGTGAGACTGAGGGAGAGGGTTGAGACTAGGGGAGACAGGGAGAGGAGACTGGGAGAGACGCAGGGTGCAGTGGGTGACAGTGACCAGTGTATTGATAACAGGAGATTGCTTATGGCTGCAGGGGGGCGAGCCTGCGCTGGAGTGGAGCCCCCTGGAGGAGGAGAGAGGGACTACACCTCATGTGGTCTTCAGTAAGAAGGTCAGAGAGCCCGTAGCGGACACCCTGGTCATCAGCCTGCTGATGAACAATTAAGACAGGGCCTGACTCTCTCCTCCTGCCTGTCCGCCTCAGGATGGGGATGCTGAGGGCGAGGAGGAGACGAACTTTGACCCCGGCTATGAACCTGACTGGGCAGTGATCAGCAGAGTGAAGATACACCCCCAGCAGGGAGAGAAGGAGAGAGAGACAGGTACCGAGAGAGAGAGACACTCTGACCGCAGCGCCGCTCGGCCTCCGGGCCCCTGACCGTAGGTCCGCTCGGCCTCCGGGCCCCTGACCGCAGGGCCGCTCGGCCTCCGGGCCCCTGACCGCAGGGCCGCTCGGCCTCCGGGCCCCTGACCGCAGCGCCGCTCGGCTTCCGGCCCCTGGTGTCAGTGTGTGTATCTCTCCCCGCCAGGAGACTGGTCGTCCTTCTCCCTCCCTCTCTCCGAGCTCTACTCCCTGCGCCGATCTCGCTTCTCCCTGGGGAAGAACTTCCTGGTGCTGACGAGCCGGGGGGGGGCCCCCCTCCCTGCCCTGCATTTCCACCGGGGGGGCACCCGGGAGCTGCTGAAGGCCCTGCAGAGATACATCATCCTGGCGCCGTGAGTCCGCCTGTCTGTCTCTCTCTCCCTGCCTGTCTCGCTGTCCCTCTCCCTATCTGTCTGTGCCTTTGCTCTCCCTGCCCGTCACCCAGCCTGTCTCTCTCTCTTTCCCTGCTTGTTTGTCTATCTATTCCTCTCTGTCTCCCTGTCTTTCTCCCTCTCTGTACCTGTCCCGCTCCGCTCGTACCCGTGTCCCTGAGCCTGTCCTCCGCCCAGGTCCCCACTGGATGGACGGCTGTTCCTGGCCTGTCCGCATGACTCTGGAGCGCTGTCCCAGTCCTTCGACGGGCTGCATATGTTCGAGGATGGAGCCCCTGACCTCGTGTCTGTGAGTCTATATTAGGGTCTGTATTAATCTGTATGTGTGTGAGGTGTGTCTCTAGGGTCTATATTAGGGTCTGTATTAATCT